ATTTAACAGCACCAGCGTCCTCACCGACAGTCGGACCACCTTCCACACGGGTCCTCTTCCGCTGCATCAAAACGGCACTAGGGTCGATCTCCTCGACTTCTGGATCCGACGCGGGCCCCGAGCTCGACGGTGATTCCACCCTCGCCGACTGAGGAGCGTTTGGACTTTGTGATGGGCCCATTCTCGTCGCCTGTGGGGGCTTCACGACCCTCCTGCCTCGCCTCTGGTCGCAGGATAATTTCAGGAGCCTTTCATGTCGGCTAGCCATCGTACCTGCACGAAATAAAGGAGAAGTCAGTATCGAGCAAACTTCATGAGTAAATGACGAATAAAGAATTTCAAGCAACAAACAACCTAACAGGCGGGCAGCCTGCCTGTATGTCGGGCACTCCACCAGCGCCTTGGTGTCAATCGGACGGGACTCGAACATCGGGTAACCGTCTTTGTCCAGGATATCATCCCCTTCCCGCGTAACCCATTGGGCGGGATGGAAACTGTCGACAAACCGACAAAGAGTGTCGTACGCCCGCTCGTCTTCCGAGCACATGTCCCCGGCGGTGGTATGGTAATAACCGGTCCCATGCTCGTAATGCCGGGACATCCAGTACACCGGGATTTTAGCCCTACGACCCAACACAGGGCTCCCATCGTCGCCCATCATCGTTTCCCCATCATCGTCGCTCACCGGCCCCTCCTCCTCGAAAAGGGAATTTAAAGCAGCGTCGGTAACTGGCCGTACCACGTACCACTTGTCTTTAAACCCCCTCACGGAGTCCATATACATCTTAAAGAGCCTCCTCGACTGCTTCAGGGAGACCCAGCTATGTTTCCCTCCTCGGGACTGACGCTGCAGGTGAAATATCCGGAAGAAAAGCGGGATGGTCGCCCCGATCCTCACGTATCGACACGTCAACTCAAACGCCCGGATGAAGGCGAGAGAGTTTGGGTGTAGCTGGGACGGGGCCAGCTCCAAGTGCATAAAGACCCCGGCCTGGAAATCAGTGAATGGTAGCCGCAGCCCTAGGTCTTTGAACGCGATCTCATACATCGCGAGGCTGTAATTTGGATAAACCGAGCAAATCCTTGCACGGGTTGACGGAAGCATAACTACGAAGTTTTGTTGGAAGCCGGGCTGGTCTTGACCCTCTTCAATGACAGCGAATGGATGTCGGTCGTCCCGACTATATACCGACGCTATCCCCCGCGGCTCGACGCCCACCCATTCCAGCAATGGGTCGGTCACGGTATCAATCAGGGTGACCGACTCGTCGGCACTCCGTTCTTCGCGGTCACGGCGTCCGGAGAAGCTCGGCTCGTCCGCCATGGTTACCTGCAGAGCACGGGAAACCAGTCAGTTGAGCACGAAGTCCTACGCTCGACAAAATCATGTCGTCCCATACACGACTACATAAGTCTGTTTCCACAAATGGTTGCCTCCCCGACGTCCTGAACCCGGTGTTCTTCCTCAAACCAACTGCGCGGCCACTCTCCAAGCATGTCGGCCCGAGGTATGAACATGGCGAGCCGCACCATGAAGCCCACGGCCAAGACCATGAACATACCGGGCGCGATCATGAATCAGGCGCCTTGGATCATGAAGACCCCGGGCAGCTCTGAAGTTTATCACCTAAACCATGAATGTGCCGGCCACAAACATGCGTTTGCCGGTCCTAGGCATGAATGTGTCGGGCTGAGCACGAGTTTACCGGGCTAATCCCACGCGCACGGTCCTAAAACATCTACAAACGCCAGAAATCATGCATCCTAAACGGAAAAATGAAGAAGGTAGATCACTTACTTGGATCAAAGAGTGGGATTTGGCTACAAAATGGAAGAAACTGTGACGAGAAGTCGCAACTGGAAAAAGTCTGGAAGAGCAGCAGCAGAGAGAGCAGAAAACGTATTATGGGGCCCAAGGTTCCTATTTATAGTGATGACGTGGAATACCAAACGTCACCTCGGGCAACCACGGACTCCATCTCCTCGGCGCGCTGCTCCCAACGCAATGATGGCCCTACCCCCATAGGGTGGCGGCACAGTTCCCGAAAGATACCTCGTGTGCTCGACCGACGCGCCCGGTAAGGATCCTCCGCGCATCCACCACCGAGGACGTCTACGAGCACGACGCGAGGAGGCCCCTCGAGGGCCCACGCCTCTATCCCGGGCACGAGACCTCAACGAGGGAATAACTTGGGTTCAAGTCATGGCTCCTCGCAAAGGAACCACGACTTGGGGGGCTCCTGTTCTGGACTGGGCCCGACAGGCCCAAGAGCATTACTAAGGCCCAGTCCATAGGGACTTACTGAGGACCACGCCGAGCAAAGGGGTCACATCCGTGCCCGACATCCTTATGTCCAGCTCGACATCCCGCTGTCCAAATCCACGTGATAAGGTCCAGCTCCACCTCTTGACGTCCAGCTCGACGCCCTGCCGTCCAGCTCCACGTCCTGACGTCCAGCCCGACCCCTGCCGTCCGGCTCCACGTCCTGACGTCCGGCTCGACACCCTGCTGTCCAGCTCGACGTTGTCTCGAGCATCCCAACTAGGGCAGACTCAGTCCACCGTTCCCCCAACGATACTCCGGAAAGACCGCGTCTTCGTCCGCCCGCACTTCACGCAGAACATCCAGGAAGGGGACCACGTGCGGGTCCCCACTACCCACGTAGAACCTGGCAGTTCCTCCATTGGGTCAAATCCGCCCGGCCCAATGAAGGAACCTTGGCCCAGCGCTGGGGGCTATAAATACCCTCTGTTTTCAGAGGGTCAGGTATTCATCATTCTAACCTCAACTTGCTATTATCTGCTCGTACTCCCACTTACTTCAGCATCGGAGTGTCTTGCAGGTACCCCGCCACCTCGTTCAAAAAAGCTTTCTGCTCGGAGTCAGCCATGACGGTCCATTTCTGATCAGGTCAGATCATATACCATCTTACAAATACACGAAAAAAAATTATATAGAAATTGAAATCAACAAAAGAGATTTCAGTGATAGAAATCAAAGGCAGGAAAACAAAGAAAATTGTATGGAAATGTCATTATACTTATATTTATATCCCATTCAAAAATATCGTATTGATTTGCCACCACACATTCCACCATTCAACAATGTTTCAGCTAATGAGAACAAAATCCTTTCATTTTGATAAACTGCTTTCAGCTTATGTAGAGTTTTTTCTCACTTATATCTTATTCTAGAAATACCATATACATAAGCTCTTACACTATATGTGTTTATATAAGTTATAGATCTAAATGTCACTAAATAAATTAACTTATATTCTAAAGCAAATTAAATAGTATTTGAACAAATACTATTTGTTTACAAATTTATAAGTTGTAGATTCCACATATTAGTATGTCAATCTGGATGGAGTTGATTTTCTATTCAATTGGAAAGTAGAATTTCCATCATTCACCATATTCATATTATCCATATATGCATAACAACATAATTTTGAATGCCATGCACGCATATGTCTGAGTGTTAAGGCTTTTGTTAGAAGATGGTTCAATACGCATTACTCTAGCGGAGTACATAATCCCTTGCATATTAGTCATAGCCCTCGGTGTGTAATATGAATTTGTAATATGTTTAACCCCTCACTTCAAACATCATGCAGTACCTGCAGTCACAATTGATGATCATGCAAGAAGATTAAATGATGTTTTTTAGCCTTGGAGTTTGAAACATGAAGCTTCTCCTAGGGCCAGGTAGCAGATCCTTTCGGATGATTTATATGTGTAGCATTTTCTCGAGGTGATTTTTTATCATGAGACACTCAATTTTTCATTTTCATTAATTTGGATTTCAAACCAAGTCACACACTGCAATAGATGCATTCGAGAAAAACTGCTCGCAAAAGCTAATTTTCTTAGATTTTGCAGCATTAGACTCTTCCCGATCAATGTTCCATAGATGTAATGTGAGTCCTCGCATGCGAATAAAATATATTTCCCGTCTGAAGTTAAGGATACACACATTCGGCTCCCTGTGTTAAGGCCTGAAAATAAAATGAAAAGAAGCTTAGTGGAATAACATATAATGAAATAAAATTCAAATAAGAGGCTACTAAATCAATAACAACAATGTAGGGATTCAATGGGAACATACATTTATATTTACACATCACATTAAGCCCGTCAAGGATTCTAACTTGAGAATCAACACAGGTAACCATAATTTTATTGGAATCTTGAGGGAAAAACTGAAATAATTAACATATCTTCAGTTTTCTGAGACATTATGAAAATATAAATAATCACAAAAATGTTACTTAATATAAGAAGCAAAAGCAAAATACATGAAAGCCCATTATCCCTCTGTCAGGAAGTTTCATCTTACCAATTAAGCATAGTTGAGAATCTAACTCTAAGCGATTATCCGGTTCAACCAAAAACAAATATCGAATGACTTAAGGACCTAGCATGAGCCTTAAATGATTATTGTAGTTTAAACATGCAAGACAATCACAATATTTAAATACAAATCGATTAATGTTTTGAGGTATATAGAATCTTGTTAAAGATCATACCTGATATTTTATAAAACCCACAATTTTCTGCCAAAGTACCAACAATCTGTCTCTATTATGCATCATATTATTCAAATGAAATAATTTCCTTTGTATCAATAACATATATTTAAATTGAATTGAAATTGTTTTTGAAAATAATACCTGTCCATCGGGTCGATAAGATACTGTAGTCACTTTATCTAGGAGTTCAGTCTAATTAATAACCTAACAATCAGAATTGCCCATATACGTAATTTCCCATATATGGATCCGCTAATGAAATAATCCTCGTATACAGGATTGAATTATATACATGTCACTGTACAATACCATCAAATAAAAATAATCGATTAGTACACCCATATAGTTAACTCCCTGATTAGTACTATTTTGTCTCTCTTCAGAAATCCGAAACAACTCCTCAAGGTTTCTATAGTTAACTCCCTGATTATCTAGTGTTCCTTCCATTGTAAAGGTCTTACTGATTCAGATTTGGCCATATGGAAAAATGGAGACATTGAACCCATCTAATATTGATCCAACAATAGATTTTGTTTGTGCAAAAACAACATCTGCGTGATAAAAAAAACACAAACACAATTAAGCATAAGATATAAGCCGAGACAACATTTTCATTGAAAAACTAACCACCAAAAAATTCTAATTTCTCGTGTACCTTGATTATGTTCAGGTTTGAATAAATAATCAAATTTAAATTGTTTTTTAGAAGAATCGGAGCATATAACTTGAAGCTCTTCTTCATTAGTTGACTCAAAATTGACAACAGGTGCTGATCCATTAGAAATTTCTTTTTCATTTATTGGTCGACATCTACAGAAAACTCTGATATTTCCCTTGAGTTCAATCACTTAATTGTTAAGCCGCCTACGCTCAAATGACTCTTCTATGTACTTACTTTTCAAAAGTTCATATTCAGCACCTACAGAAACAAACAAAAAAACACCCTAGTAAAAAACTAATAATGAAATGCTAGAAATAATATATTACTCAACTTTAGGCATATGTTAAGACCCTTACCCAGAAACTGAATAGACTTTAAAACACCTAAATCAACAAATGACTCAAATGTGAGTTTCACTTTATTACGAAGGGAAACATGTTCTCTCTTCAAATCCTGAAACATACATAACAACCACAAGCCACGACACAACACCATCAGAACGAAATAGTACACCCCATACAGAAAGAAAGACCACATAACACCACAAATATGATCGACACAGGAACAATCCTGCTCTTATCTACCACTTTTCCCTCGTTATTCTTCATCATCTTCAAAATAATCAACTATCTGTAAAAAAAAGCTCGAATCTACATGACTACAATAAATCATATTTCTTCGAATTTAGAAATAACTTAAAAAATAAGTGATTAATTGGATTAGAAGCAGTCTTAAAACGTTTACCTAAACAAAGATTTCAATGACAAATCGAGATTGAGGAAGGGTCATTGGAGTAATGGTTCGTGGCGATCGGAACGGCAAAAAAGGTGGTTTATGGTTGATCTTGTTTGAATTGTGTTGGGAGAATCAATTATAAAGATTGTAAATTTCTCACTCCAACTATCAATATGACCTTTCACTACTCAATGCATTGAAGAAGGTAAAAAATTCATTAAGACAAGAGATAAATTATGGAGAATCAACAAAGAGATCAATTTGAAAATGAAAAAATGACTTTACAACTTCTTTGTACGAGAAGATAGACTCCGAACATGACTTAATTAGAGATTAAAATAAAATTAAAACAAACTAAAGAAAAAAATGTAAAACTGACATATCAACAATAACTAATGCAAAATCAATATTAATGAAGCAAAGTTGTAATAAAACATTATTGACTCTGAAATCAGAAAAATTAAAACTAAAATCAGAAAGTTTAAGATAGTGTTTTCAGATACTTTATATTTTATATGTTTATAATAGATTCAATTTTGATCTATGCAATTTTTACTTTACCTAATGCTTTTAACTGAACACGTATATTATATCTTCGGCAACCCAATACGAATGCAAATAAGTATACAAATTAAGAAGGTGTTTTAGTTTTGAATTGGAGAATTTAAAAATTATCAATTTAAACAAAAAAGTGAGGGAAGAAGAAAAATTTGTGTTACATTGATATTTTATAAGTAACAATTATTTTTTTGAGATGCAATATGCAAAAAAAATTAAAATAATCTTTTTTATTATAGATCTTTTTGTTTTAATTTTAAAATAATGAATTTTTTCATATTTTTAAAAATGGATTTTATAAAGAAAAATTTAAAATATTATTAATTTTTTTAAATTTATTTTTATAAATTGAAGTACTAATTAAAACTTTTTTATAACATAAATATACATTATCAAAGATTAAAATATTATCAAAATCATAATATTTTTTTACAAATTTATATTTTAAAAGTGGTTTTGATGAAAAAAAACTTCAAATATAAGTTTTTTTTTTAATTTTGATATAAAATAATAAAAAAAATTATATATTTAAAATAATATTTTAAGAATAACTATTTAAACGAATTTTTTATTTAAATTTTTTTAAAAATATTTTTAACAAAAATATATTACACTAAAAATAAATTTAAAAAAAAAACTTAAACAAACAGCTCAATATTAATAACTTTAGTTTAAATAGTAAGAATAAAAAGTGTCTTAATTAAAATAAAAATAAACAAAAGGTTAATTTATAGTTTTGATCACTCAATTTTGACCGATTCACAAAATTAATCCCCTTATTTATTTTTTAAATAGTTTTGGATCCTGTTGGCTGAAGATTTTGATAATATCATTAGAAGCAAAGTAAACAAATGGGACGTTTCGATTCAAATGAAACAAAACGTCATGTTTCGAAATGATAGAAGCAGTGCTTCGAATGAGCATATCAAAGCTTGAAGCTTCGAGTGACAGTTATGAGAATATATCCAAAGAAGTCTCGAAATGACAACAAGGCTGAGTCTAAGAAGTGCGTTCGAAGCGAAGAAGTACCAAAACATTTGAAATTCAAATGCAAGCGGGATGTTCGAAATTTGAAATATATGCGCTGGAGCATTCGAAGACACGTGGAAGTAAGAGAGAGGCATTGCTCTGCATGTTCTGAACGTGGCAGAATCTTATAGTAAGACCGTTATGGTCGAAGTAGTATAAATAGAAGTCTTAGCATTAGGATTTCGTGTGTCATATCTATTGTACTAAATACTCAGTAAACATTCAAATTACCACATGGCTAGGGAAACGAATGCAAGAGCAATGTACGTATGATAACACCACATGTTTATGATTTAATGAAAACCCTTTATCATTTCCAGTATTTTCCTGTATCTTTATGTCAATACCATTTACAAGTTTTTGCATCTAAAGTCTTTTTATTTGAAATCTTCACTAATGCCTTACATTTAAATGCTTTCCTTCCATTTCAAATACTTTACATTTCAGAAACTGTTATACATTTTATGCCTTTATCTTCAAGTTTTTATCCTTCGAACACCTTTTTTACTTAAAGCAATTTTACAGTTTTCTTGCATTAAACGCTTTCTTCACATTTCGAATCTTTTACATTAACTGTGTTTTTTACGTTTCGAAGTCATTTACTTGTCTTTTATACAGTTTTTACATGTCTTTACAATTAACTTTTATTCATGCAATTTAGTTTCGCGCACATATATTTTGATTACACCTTTAGATCTTTAAGAGAGAAATCAAAATAAGTCAAACACCTACACAACATTCTAAATACCAACCATGAATACATGTTCGATCATGAGAGTTACCCTAATGTCCAACACGTCCTAGGATCAATCTAGTCGATCCTGCGAGTTACCAGAGAAATTGAATAACAGTCAGTAAGTTTATTCGATAGTTTGGAGGACTAGCGGTTGTTTACCAGAAATCACTGTAAACAAATTGGCACACCTGGTGGGACTAATCGTTGGACGTTACAGAATTTAGAACAGAAATAAAGATTGTTGAGACATAACCATCATAAAAAGACCCTCTGAGTGATAAGTTTGTTGTTTTGTGAACCTAAGAAGTGGTAAAATAACCAACAACAATCAACCCTTATCCAGAAGAAAACGTTTGAACAAGATGTCTAATTCTGACAATCAACAAGGGGAACAAAATGCCCCGCATACAACAGGCACTAATGTATCCGCTTCGATGGGAACATCTAATGTGATCCCTTTGAATGCACAGTCTGTTCCGTCTTCTACCAGTAATATAGCCACTAATGGAGTAAGTGGCATATTAACTAATAGTTCGGTCTTAGGAAATACTGGAACCATTGGTTATCCTGAGGGATTTGTTCCACCATCAGGGACACAAACCCATTTCGCCACTCCACTAACTAGACCACCCGGTTTCGATGGTAATAGAACCAGAAATTCCTCTTATGGAATGCCAACATCTTTTATGGCAGGTTTACACAATTCCACATCGAATTCATCACCACAATTGGGGTCTGGGTCTGGGGCGAATTAGTTTATGACAAATAACCAAGGGTCAGTGGGGTATAGCACAATGCCTATTTTAACCACAGAAAACCAGTTGGCTTTTAGGCAATTGATGGATGACAGTAACCATAATATGATAGGGGTATTAGCACAAACTATGCAGGAAATATTTGCCCCAATAGTACAAAATGTGACTGTGACAAATAGAGAAAATGCAGATAACATGAGTCGAATAGCATATTTCTTTGCTCCCCCAGAGAGGCGTAGGCAGAATCAGGCGGGGGTTCGAGCAAACATGCCTGTTATGGAACAAGTTGCTAACGACCCAACCTATAGACCACCTAGAGAAGAAGTTAACTTGGGGGCAAGGGCACAAAGGCTAGAAGCCCCAATGATCCCAGGCCCACAAGAGAAATTATGGAACCAGGGGCAAGGGTCGAAAGGCTGGAAGTCCCAGAGTTTCGAGAAGAACAACCTAGGGGGTCGTCATGGTGGGTCTAAATCAAGATGCTGATGCTGTCGTTCATAGAATTCGAAATGATAACATCTTGGCAGAAAACAATTTAACCACCATGATAGAGAGAGTCATAGCCCAGAATGGCCTCAACACAGGAATGAGAAGGCCAAATTATGCTTCTTCTATATTAGATTGCATAATGCATACTGATTTACCAAGGGGATATAAAGTCCCTAAATTTACAAAGTTCGTTGGGGATACCAATGAGTCAACAGTCGAACATATAGCCAGATATCTAACTGAAGCGGGAGATATAGCCAATAATGAAGACCTCAGGATCAAATACTTCCCAAGTTCCCTGACTAAAAACGCCTTCACATGGTTCACCACTTTGCCTCCTGGGTCCATTGATACTTGGGCTCTTTTGGAGAGATTATTCCATGAACAGTTTTACATGGGACAGTCAAAAATAAGCTTGAAGGAATTAGCCAGTGTCAAGAGAAAGTTCACTGAACCCATAGATGATTATATGAATAGATTTAGGCTTTTGAAATCCAGATGTTACACAGTGGTGCCTGAACATGAGTTAGTCGAAATGGCCGCTGGTGGCTTGGATTACTCTATTTGAAAGAAACTAGACACTCAATATTTGAGGGACATGGCTCAGTTAGCCGACAGGGTTCGACAGGTCGAAAGGCTAAAGGCCGAAAAGGCCAGAGTCTTTAAAAATAATAAGAAGGAAAGAATCTCCTATGTTGGAACTGAGGAAGCAGAAGATTATCCTGAATTCGAATTCGAAGAGGTCGAAATCGACCTCGCTGAATTAAAACAGGCACCACCTTACTCCTGTAAATTATTGGTTCCCACAAAAGGGAAAGAGATTGTTGAAAATGAGAAAAATGACAAATTCCCAAAGAACGTTTATACCTTCGATGTCACTAAATGTGACGAGATTTTTGATTTACTTATCAAAGATGGCCAACTCATTGTGCCATCAAATGTCAAAATACCTCCTTTAGATCAAAGAAAGAAGAGAGGATTTTGCAAATATCATAGTTTCCTAGGCCACAAAACCTCACAGTGTTTTCTTTTCAGGGACCTAATTCAGAATGCAATCAAAGATGGCAGACTGAAGTTCACTGATAAAGCAAAGATGAAAGTGGACGAAGATCCTTTGGACATGGCAGACACCAATTACTCCGAGCCTGCATGTATTGGAGAGATTAACATGGTGGAAGCTGACCAAAGTGATGCCCCAATAGGAGAGAAAGGTACTGAAAACGAAAGCTGGGTGATAGTCGAAGTCGATAAGGAGGTCACTGAAGACGTCCAGAAGCTACCAGAGACTTCGATTGAAGCAGCACCTTTA